GTATCTGAATATCCACTTCACAGCCTCCCAATGTTGCTTTCCTGGATTACTCATATACCTGTTGATAGGGGTGTAAGTTAGTCGATTTGGGTCGATTTCTATGCAAAACCGACCCGACTCGAGACTATTCGATTTTCGTTCGAGTCGGGTATGTTCGGGTCGGTTCGGATTTAGTTTTTTTTTAAGCTAGGTTTTCGTTTTCATGTTTTTTAATCCCAAGTCTAGGGTTTTTGCTTTCTAAAGCCTTCAACCTTAGAAGCAAAAAAATTTACCAGAGGAGAAAGAAAGAGGAAGATGAAGATTTTAAAAGATTTGAGTTTCAGTTTGTTTTGATTTGGACAAATTTAGAGAGAGTGAAAAAGAGATTCAATATCATCCATCTAACCCATAAATTAGATGAAAACTTAAAAAGAAAAAATCGGTTGTCGTGGATTTGTCAAGAGAAACTAGAGAGGGGTGGAGTTGCCGCCATGGATTTCTGGGTCGTCGCACGCTGTGCCGGCGTGGGTTTGCGGTATCTCGCCGCCATTGTTGAAGAGGGTTTCGGGTTGTCACGCACCGTCGTAGATTTGTTCCATATCGTCATCACCATGATTTTGTTTTGCCGCCACGATGCCATCATATTTGCAAAGAGAGCAAAGGGAGGGAGAAGAGGAAGAAAGGGAGTAGAGGGAGCGAGCATAGGGAGAGAGAGCAGCAAAGGGAGGGAGAGGAGGAAGAGAGAGAGAAGGAGTGAGCAAAGGAAGAGAGAGAGCATAAAAGGGGAAGAGGAGGAAGCGGCGCACAAACTTAAAACTAGGGTTTCAGTTTTTGGTTTTAACCGACCCGAATGAATTTTTGTCATAACCGAACCGAATTGAATCGATTCCATTCGGTCTTGCAGTTCGGTTCGAGTTCTTTCACCTCTACCTGCTGACAACTCCCACTGCATGTGCAATATCAGGTCTTGTACAAACAATGGCATACATCAAGCTTCCTATAGCTGAAGCATATGGCACTTTAGCCATATAATCTCTTTCCTACTCAGTAGTCGATCGGTGAGTGTTCTTTAGATAATTTAAAATGACTAGCTAAATGAGTACTCACAGGTTTTGCATTTCCCATGTTAAACTTGGTCAATACTTTATTAACATACTTTTTCTGTGACAGTGTCAAAATACCATCTTTTCTCTTTATCCTCATCTCTAGGATTTGTTTGGTCGCTCCCAAATCTTTCATGTCTAATTCTTTAGATAATTCAGCCTTTATCTTCATAATTTCTTCTTTGTTTGATCCTGCTATCAGCATGTCATCAACATATAGCAATAAAATGATGAATGAGTTACCCTGAGTTCTTATATAACAGCAATGATCTGCCTAACACCTCTGAAATCCACTGCTGCACATAAAACCGTCAAACTTCTTATACCATTGTCTGGGTGCCTGTTTGAGACCATACAATTTTCTCTGAAGTTTGCATACCATTTTCTCTTGCCCCTGTACTGTAAATCCTTGTGGCTGCGCCATGTAAATTTCTTCCTCCAAATCACCATGAAGAAAAGCTGTTTTAGCATCCATTTGTTCTAGGAACAAATCTTTTTCTGCCACTATCGATAGAACAGTCCTAATGGCAGTTAGTCTAACTACGGGATAGAAAATCTAATTAAAGTCAATACCTTCCTTTTGTTGAAAGCCTTTGACTACAATCCTTGCCTTGTACCTTTTGCTGCCGTCGGGCTCCTGCTTGATTCTATATACCCATTTATTCTGCAAAGCTTTCTTACCTCTTGGTAACTCAGCAAGTTGCCATGTCTGATTGATCATTAGAGAATTCATTTCATCTTTCATGGCTAACT